TGTGTGTGTGTGTGTGTGTGTGTGTGTGTGTGTGTGTGCGCGTTTGTGTTTAAAGGACCTTCCAATCTAATGTCAGGGACAAATTAGGGTTGTCACAAACTCAGTAGTAGCTCAACTATTTGAATAAAGGTATTGAGATGGAAGCATGCTGGCAGGAACAAGTGACTGGGGTACCAAGGTTGAGATGTGACAAGTAGAGGTGCCCAGCTGCTGAGTCAAATCATGGAGAGGGAATCTCTGCTGAAGGAGAGCAGTAATTTTCAACCAAAGCTAAGGAGAAAGAGAAGATGGATAGGGTGCATCATTACTAAGCAAGAATATGTGTGTGGGTTGGTGGGAACTGGATCAATGGAAGAAGCACATTGTACTCTGGGAAATATGAAAAATCCCTTAAGAATTTTTGCCCCTGACAAAAGGTGGTAATAGTTTCTGCTGCTTTATTACAGCAGTCGTCTATTTGTTTTATGGCAGGAGAGGGCAGGCAACTTAGAGCTGCTTGCACTCTACAGCCACCCCAGACAGGCACTCTGAGGGCTTAAGAGGTCTCATCCTGCATGCTTTAGGAATTCCTGCACAAGTTTGGGCCCCTCGAGCCCAAAAAGTGCCTGCCTGGGTTTCCTCACTTAGAAACCAGTGCAAGAACTTCCATGGGGTACATCTGCAAGTGGAGAACCCCAGCTTTCTCCACTTAGAGATGCACCCAGGGGAATCTCTGGCTGTGCCTCTGCAAGCAGGGAACAACCCCCTTCCCATGGAAATTGTCCTGCAGGATCAATAGACTGGACAATGGGAGATGTTTCATCCAGTGAAGCAGATCAGCTGTGCCAGGATACCTCCAGAACACTTCCTCTGACAACATCTGTTTATACCCTAAGCTTTCATTCAGGGATTTTTATTTTGTCCTACAGGATGCTGTATACATGGAAACTGTTGTGCTTTTGTGTTTCTCACTTAGTAGCACAGCCCAAGATCTGTATAAGAAGAGAATCCCTTCCTTCGCTTAACACTTCCTATCACTACTAACTAGTTGTTCAGCTCCAAATAGTTTAGCAGTGTTAGAAGTCTCTACTGTAGCTGGGTCACTTGTTGCACCTAGCATTTCAAGCTTCCTTTGAGCATGGTTAAATAATATGATTTTAAAAATACCTTCTTGTTGACAGTATTTAAACCAATATAGTCTCAGGAAATGGTAACAGGGAGCAATGAGTTGAAAGGAAGGAAATGTTTAATCAAGATTTGCACTGTGCTATGGCATTATAGTCATGCTGGAGAAGCCATTTTTATAGAAGTGACTAAAATGTATATTGTTATGCTGAAAAATTCTCTTCTCTATTCTTGGCTTAAAAGTTATTTTAGGGAAGAGGTAGGGGAAAAATGAATAAAAATTATCTATTTGATTGATAAGGAAGACTAACAAATTTTATAGCCATCTAAGAAAATAATTATTCTTTACTGTTCAGATACCTAAAACTGTTAGGAATTTTAATCTTCAGATTTGTTCTAGACAGTCTCCTCAGTTAGGGTGTCTTTGCTATGCCTGAAGAAGTCTAATTTTATAGCATATGCCCTAAGCATATTTTCCCCCTAGTAATAAATTCTGATAGCTTGGGTTTGTGGCCTTTCCCCATCCCTTTCCCATTAATTTTAAGTCATTTTCAGCCTATTGCAATACAACTGACTAATGTTAACTAGCTCAGATGTCTGTTAAGTCTCTCTTACTGCAAAATATACCTCTCCAGTACACTGTACCTATTAATATTGACGCTGCAGTTGTAAAAAAATCATTCCACCAGACTTCATGTCTACTTAATCCTCTGTCCATCCTTATGAAGTCAAGACTTGGGTAACCAGCTTCCTTTTATCATCCTGATCTGTGTCCCTTTTAGATCTACACTTTTCTCACATTATTTGAAAGAGTCCGTTTCAGATTTCTCATGTGTGTTCTGATGAGAGGAGAAGAGTTTTAACCAAATTGTACTGAATTGCACAAGCTGCTTTTTAGATGTAAGGCTTGGAAAATTTAAAAATACATATTCTCCAGATGGATTGTATTCCTTTTGGTCATGCTCTGTCTCAAGCAGTTTGACTTAAAACCTTCACATTTAATTTATTCAAACAATTATGTGGCTGAGATCTTAATAACTTTTTTTGAATGAAATGGGGATACATGTTGTGGAAGCAACTTGATGCCAAATTAGGGTAATCTATTGGGCTCCAGTGAACTTTCTGAAAGTACCAGTGGTCTGGTAGATTTTATACTATTTTGACCCCTTGTAACAGAAGTGTTTGGACAGCACAAGTGATTGTGGAAGGACTTTGGAAACTTCCAGGAAGATCCACTATATTTTGATGTTGTGCTGGAATCACTGGTAATGGGGCAAAGTCTTCTCTTTGTTCCAGAGTGTACACCATCTCCTCTTACCACCTCAACAGAGAATTTCCCCTTCTATGCAAAATCTGCCTAAACGGACTAGAATTGTGTGGCAATTCCAATTCCTGAAGTGACTTGTATGGAGATTTATAAACACTGAAAGGATTTGAAGGACATTGTAAATATCATGTAAGTTTATCTGGATCTGTTAAACTACGTGTAAACTATGGTTGAACTTAGAAACATCCCTGGTAAATAGGTATAAGTGAAGGAGCTCCATAGCACGATGGCCCCAGCACTTTTATTTCAACACACTGTTCCATCATACAGATTCTAAGACATGCAGAGTCTCCATAGGCCATTTGCAGAGCCAGCTATGCTAGAAGAGGAGCAAGAAAACTGCTTAGATCAGCATTGTATCAGCTGGGTTGAAATATTTAATGAAGTCTGTTTATATAGTTTTGAGGTAACATTAGCCAGCAACCAACCAAAGTAGGCTACTGCCTAATTTAATGAATGAACAAAAATGCTACTTTTGGCCTAGTAATTTTTTTAATTAAAAAAACTAAACTTCCTAGAGAGAGAAACTTATTAGCATTAAATATGTAAGCAAGTATCAATACTTTTTAAGTTTGACTAAAAATATTTTTAAAAATACTGAAGTTTTGGATTACAGAAGTGCAGAGTTAACTTTCCAACCACCTCAGCTCTACATTCCTCTTACAGTACTCAGTGTCACCATATTTCCTTGCACTCTTTAAAGTATTGTGTACTGTGGAAGTTTGGTGCTGAACTTTTCTTGCTAGGCACATCTTACCCCACATATTTCAACAGATTAACTGGTGTAAAATAATATTGCACTATGATTTTTGTAGCAATGTTTAGGCAGTGATTCTCAACCTCTTTAGACTCCATGCACCTCTTCATAGTTTCATAGTTTCTAGGGTCGGAAGGGACCTGAGTAGATCATCTAGTCCGACCCCCTGCCATGGCAGGAAAGAGTACTGGGGTCAAACGACCCCAGCAAGGTGTTCATCTAACCTCCTCTTAAAAACCCCCAGGGTAGGAGCCTGCACCACCTC